AAACCGTCGAAAGGGGTGGCTGATTATTTTTATTTGCCAAGTGGTATTGATCAGAAATTACACATGTGTGTGTAGCAAAATTGTAACGGATGTAGGAAATTGCCGGGTTGAGAAAAAAGGGGGTGACTCACTCTCGATATTTTTATTATACGTGCTGCAATAGGAGACGTGATTTTGTCGATAAAAGGGAAGGAAGGGGACGAGTGTAAGTTGTAATTTCTAAGGTGACGGTTTTTTCTCAGACTGCTTAGAATGGGTGTAAATTGTGGATGTGGTGTGTTTGGAGATAGACACTCTTTGATACCAACCTAATTAGGGTAGCCGGTTTTTAAAAGTAGTATAGTTTTGTTGTTCATTCTATTGAAATATTTTTGTATATGCTAAATATCTACCACAAGCTAAAGTTAACGGGTACAAGCTTTGAGCTTCCATGTACAATGACAGGGACATTTAGACGCTAGTTCAAATTTGTTCCACTGGTACCTCTTTTCCAATATGGCACATGTAACCGTTTTAATAGTGGAGGTCAAACCATGTAATTCTTGGATAAAAAAATCTGCAATTACCAATTACCATGTGACATCAACACGCCGTGGTCATTATGTTGAACACTTTTTTGTGGATTCGCTCTTCTGTACTCATTCAATATCCTGTGACGTTCGCATTCAATCTTACACTACTAAAAAAAATATATACATAAAGGGAGAAAGGAAGAAATCCAAATTTTTCTGTAATCTTTGACAGGCTTTATTTCGGTGAAAAATGGTCGTATCTGAACCGTTGGAGAAGTCAATTCGAAGCTTTAACCTTCATGTTGTTAGGTTTTTTAGCCGAAAAATTCTAGGACTTTGTCATCGACCACTGACATCTCGGCAACCAGTGATCGCACACAGAACGTCAGGGTATTTCAGAAAACTGGAAAAATCGACCGCATTTTTGGAACTGCTGATGATAGGGCTAATATGTTTAGGTTTTTTATACCTTAATGTACCTCTAATAACTCCGCGTGACGTCAGATCGATCTATCGTATGGTTTCTCCGGTATGATTGGTCAACATTTGAAAATTATGCAAATTTCGGTCAGGCGGAACACTCAATATTTTCTAGATCCGCCCCTGGTTGGTATTTTTGTTTTTTGGAATGTTCCATAAATTGCTTTTTTTTAATACTGAACGTGTTACAGATATCCAATAGTGACACCAAAAGAAGAAAGATGATTTTTCTATTTTCAATCAGATTACAGGATGTTTTGATGAAAATGTTGCTCCTTTGATTTCCTTCAAATTTTGACCAATCGGTTCGGAGAAACCGTAAAATCGATCGATCTGCCGTCGTGCAGGGTTAGCATTGATACATTGAGGTTCATAAAAACCTAAAAACATTAGCCTGCTAATTAGCAGTTCCAAAAATGCGGTCGAGTTTCCGAAACACGGCAAAAAGTAACTTTTTGGCGATTTTGAAATCAGTACTAAGAAAACAAAGATATGGCAATCAAATCTTATAGGAGCTTAATTCCAGTTTTCGGAAATACCATTACATTACCTGCGCCATTACTGGTTATCGAGATATCAGTGCTCGATGACAAAAGGATCCTTATTCATTCAAAGTCAGGTATCTCCACGCCAAATGATTGCATCGAGATTTTATAAAGAAGATATTGAAGCTATCTGATCCATGTAACGATCTAACAGGAAAGTGTTTTTTCAAGCAGGTGAACTAAAAAAGGAGGCAAAAATTTTGTCGAAATTGGGGACAGTTGCTCCTAAAACCATTCGGCTAAAAAACCAAAAAACTAGAACCTTGAGGCTGCTCAATGCTTATTTTGAGTCTAGATACAACCATTTACCGAAATACGACCTATCAAGGATCACTAAAAATTTGGATTTTTTTCGTACTCCCTCAATTTTTTTGAGTAGTGTATTTGATTTTTGAAGGTGCAGTGATACATCTTTGGACCAACATCTAGACGTACTTGTTTCCGTATTGAATTACCGGTATTGTACGGTACGATAAACTGAGCTTTAGAGAAATCCAAATACCACTGACGAGATAATGTGTACGAGAGCGAAGCGGTAGCTGCGTCATGACCTCGTCACTCGGGCTGCTAGGCAACGTGGTGCCTCTATCTCTTCCTAACATAGGTATTGCACGCTTCTCGCGCTTCTCTCCCGTACACATTACGACGTCAGTGGTATTTGGATTATTCTGTATATAAGATGTGTCTTAATGACGTTTTATTCTTTTAGATTGACATTCAGCTGACAATATGGCTAGAGGAACAAATATCAGAAGCACGGATTTTCGGGTGGATAATACCTCAAAAAAAAAGAGACCCTACACTATGCAGTAGCTACAGGGGTGTAACCTCACTAAGCTTAAACTCTAACAGCTCCTATTAGATAGAATATAAATGATAAGGTATGCGGAAATCGAAACAGGTGAGCATCGGCAGGGTTTTAAAAAAATGCTACGACCAAATTCATATTATCTTCATCGACTTTAAGCAGGCCTCTGACATCTCGGAGAAAATTGGTGGAAGAAATGTGAAACTTGAATATCCTAACAAAGGTTTGCAAGACTGGTAAAAGTAATAATAATTATAATGATAATGATAAAAGCATTTATTGCCCTAAGGAACTATTATAATTCCATTTACAGGACAGATAATTGCAATCTGGCATAACAGTAAAAAAAAAATACTTAAAATTAAGAAAATAAACAAACATTAACATAACGTGTATAACGCTATTTAAGGTGCTGCCTTGAGTTGAGGAAGAGAGCACAGAAGGTATCACAGATACTGCATATTCTGTTGAAGTTCATGCACATGACGCTTACACGAGATTTTAAAGCTAGGTTGGTATTTGCACGGGTGCAAGTAATTTTGGAATAAACCTGGTATGCGAAACAAATGTCTATCTGATAATTTCAACGTCTTCCTTGGAAATTCCTTTTTTTCAACTAAGGTTTGGGAACGCCAATGTATGATGCATTAAGCATTTTTGGAATCAGAATTGAAAACTCCATTCATGTGTGCAAAAATCATAAACATAACGTTGATGCTGGAGGACAAGAGGCAAGAAATCATGCCATCCTGTAGAGTGACAATTTTAATGTGCAATTTATTTTGAAATCTAACTGCAAATAATGTCAGGAAGAAATTAAAACGATTTTGAGAAATTCGTTCGTCTCCAGAAGTATTTTGAATTTCAAAACTTCCTAAGCGGCAATCTGTTAATTACCCAAGTACGCAACTTTGCCCTATATAAGCGTCTTCGTATCTCTTACAGTTTCCGAAAGTCCAAAGGTGAAGGTCGAACTTGAAACACCCTGTATAGACTGGGAAGTAATCAGCCCTCTCGCCATATAAAGCCGAGAAATCGAATATAATCGCATATATTGCTCCTCATCCTTGAAGGCTACTGTTTACAATTCCGTATTGACATTACAAAAACAACTTGAGCTGTAGTGACAAAAGACGTTTCTGAAGCTCAAATATCAACACCATGATTGTCATTAACAAACGAATTTATACATTTTAGGGCCAATATAATAATTTTCAAGAGCTTAAGTCAAGAGTATTGCTTGTAACACGCAGCAAGTGCAATAGGTCACATCTAGCTTGAAGGTGCAGTAATGTCTTTCTCAATCATATAAAAATAATAAATATAATCGTTGTGAAAAAATCTCTGTACTCAAAAGTTTAGTGTTCATTTGCCCACTGGATCTTTCAAGTATTCTTACTACCATGGTTTTTAAAATCTAATGTGATAAATTTTGAGAGAAATTGTATCTCCATAGTTTTGGAAAATCACGTAACTGATCATAAAACCAGAATCCTAGGGATACCAATAGATAAGGTAGAACATTATGCGAATACTTCTGTTAGAGAAATTCAATATATCAATTATAATGGCCTAAGAGAAGACCTAGATAAACATAATTGGACAAACTATTACTCTGAAAATAATGTTAATATTTCGGTTAGCCAACTAAGTGACATATTAAGATCTTTACTTTTAATAAATCAAAGTATATCTTTAACATCTGTGAAAACCTATAAATACTTAGGTGTCACCATTGATCCCCACCTGAGGTGGGATGTTCATATAGCTAACATTACAAATACCTAACGACAACTCTTATATCGCTTTAAATACTTACAACATCTCATACACCATCTGAAAATGTTGTATTATTCATTAGTTGAATCACGTCTACGATACGCAATTTCGAATTGGGGAAGTACCGCATATTGTCACTTGCGGCCTCTGGGTATACTGCAAAAAAGAATGTTGACAGTAATATCTGGCAAAAAATTACTTATCCTTCTGATAAATTATTTTCAGAGACTGGAGCGTTTGACCTAAGGCAACTGTTTCTGCATGAATTAATTCAATTCATATACAAACACAAAGACCACTTCAATAAAACTAGCCATGCTTATAGTACTAGATACGAAGAAAATGAAAACCTAAAAATACAAACTTTTCAAAGAAATGTAAGCTTGCGATACCACACCTACCTATCATGTAAAATTTATAATTCTTTGCCATACGTGTACCGTATGTATGTTGATAAAATAAACTCATTGTCTTTGATAAAATCTTTATTTGAAAAATATATTTTTTTAATTGGTAGACAAGAGACACGAAATCTAGTAGAAATTATTTACTAGAAATCGTACTACGCTAGTATTAGGGTAGGATCGCACAAGAGTACGCACTTAACCAATTTACTTTGTTTAAAAATAATTGAAATGCTTTAAGTTGAAATTTTTATTCAAAATATTTTAGCTTACATACTAATCTAAACTTAAAAGACAAATTTTGCCATACATTTTAACATTTAACGAAAATATAAAAGTTTAAACAAAAACAATAAAATGCGTACTCTTAGGATACAGGTTCCTTAAGAGTACTCAATTGTGTCCTAAAGAGTACGCATGTAAACCAAAGAGTACGCGGTAAGATATATCGCCCAATTGGCTGTACCTAAACTTATTCTTTTAAATGTAGGCATAAGTCACAAGAAAATAGGCCATTTCCTAGATAATTAGAGCAGTCATCATGCCACCATGTTTGACACAAGTGACACTTAATCCAATCGGATGTAGAATAATGCTCGGAACATCCGGGACAAATCGTATTGTCTTTTTCATTGTCAACTTTTTTCTTCTTCTGGATTTCTGTATTTTGCCCAGAATCACCAAAAACTTTTCTTTTTCCTCCCTTTTTCTTTAGGCCTTCTTTACGCCTATCTTTTTCTTCCAACAATTTGTCTTTGTATGGGGTAGATGACAGGATTTCCGACTTTTTAGATTTAGTTCTTCTTACTTGTTCATGGGTAGCTTTTGGTAACGGTAAAATCATTTTAGGAGTAATACAAACACTTAAACCTAGATCAATCGGTGCCGCAGACGTAGCCTCAACATAAGTTGAAATTTTGGTAAAGCCTGTACTTTTTGGACTTGGTGTTCTAGTTTGCTCATTTTCAAATAATTTTTCCTTATCGTTTTTAGGCGGGATATAGCCACTTGTACCTGGTTCACTTAGTTCCTTAGGAGCTGCTTTAAAGTAAGCTGTACTTTCAGTAACGTCTGAACTTTGTGGTTCGGGAATCGTAGATTGCTTTTCTTCGGTTAATTTTAAGTTTTCTTTTATTATGGTATTTCTTACTTCTGCAAGAGTGCAATCGTCATCAAATGAACTCTCTTCAACAGATGATTCGATTCTTTGTATTTCAGATTGAGTTTCTTGGGCCAGGTCTAGATGTGGTCTGTTTGTGACCTCAGATGGAGCAAAATCTAAATCACTAAAAACGTCTGGGTTATAAGGAAACAACCCAGTGCAAGCAAATGATTTTTCACATATTTCTATAGTAGTGACTTTTGAATAAGCAAAATGGAAAATGGCAGCCATTTCTTTTAAAGTAATAGGGCGTCCAGGGTTGTTGACCATCCATTTATCACATTCGTTTGAAAAGGCTGTTTTTAAGGGAAAGAAAAATCCTTTATCTAAGGGTTGAATTTTATGGCTTGCATGAGGAGGTAGGGTTAGTAGCGTTATAAAATGACTTCTAGAGAATAAAATGGTCTCCAATGAGCAATGAGATGTGTGATTGTCCATTTTACAAAGTCGCAAAAATGTCGCAACCAAATTACAAACAAATCAGTGTTCATATAACCTGAATCTGAGATCATTTTTAATGTCCCAGGAGGTGCTCCAAAAAAAAGTTCCTCCTTCATTCTTTTTCTTGCGAAAATAAGACCTGGCGGAACCCAAGTACCACCAGCGCTCATGCAGCATACAGCCGTAACTAGCTGACCTCGTTCACCTGATACAACTTTTGACACAGTTTTCTTCCCTTTACAAGCATAAACTTTTGGGAGCTTGTTTGGTACGGTAGATAATCCCGTCTCGTCCATATTAAAGATCCTGTGTGGTGGTAGTTTTAATTTTTCGTAAACTATTTTTAAATTTTCGAAAAAGCGTTGACACTGAACTTTATTAAAGCCGATAGCGCGACCTAAGCTGCATTTTTCTGGAGCTCTGAGAGACAAAGTATTTCTTGCTGCAAAATCTTGTACCCAGTGTTTCCCCGCCATCTTGTTTTCTGTATTAAACCTATGCGGAATTTTATTTAATTCTGCATACTGAAAGGCCAAGTACCTAACATCTTTCATACGCAGTCCATAAAATCTGTTATCTAGATCTTTGATATGGTCAGCCAATTCCTTTTCCTGTGCTTGTGAAAATACAGGCTTAAATCTACCCAGACTAGATGGAATAGTACCCTAAAATAAAAATAAAATTGCATTTTGACGTTAAAATCGTCAGTTTATTATTACCTCTCGCAATCTTTTTCTTAATGTACACTCATTCACATGAAAGGACTTTGCGACCGATCTTTTACTTTCCCCTTTTGCGATGCGGTCCCTTGCTTGGTCGATGATTTCTTGAGTAAATGTTAATGATCTATCGCTCTTTCGCTTGTATTTACCCATTATAACAAACTAAAACAAATAATAAGAAGTCATTTCATGTGTCCCTAAGAGTACGCACGAATCCTAAGAGTTCGCATGCGTACTCTTTGCCTGCGTACTCTTAGGAACCTTGACATGAAAAATTTAAACACTGAGTTACAAATTTAGGCAACCAGAAAAACTGTATGTATGTCGCTAAGGATCAACTGTAAACATTACTGTTTAAGGCATATTTACGATTTTTTATAAAAATTTGCGATTTAATTAAATATTACTTACCCAGTAAGTTCAAAATATTACATGTAATTTCAGGAAAACTATTTTTTCCGCATATATGTTACGCATTTGTTAAAAATTGTCAGCAAAACTACACAAACTCTTGGGACAACTAACAACTAACTACTGACGAGACGACAGCCGACTGGCGGGGATAACAATAAAAAAATGGCGATCGCGTACTCTTATGGAACGCGTACTCTTAGGCGATCCTACCCTACTCCTCCTCACCCTCCATATTTCTGTAGTTAGTGGAATAAACTTTATTATATAAGTGCTACTCCTCCTTATCTTCCATACTTACAATGTGCTTGTTGTATAAAATCCTGCTCTAAGCAAAATTTGTTATCAAAATTATATCAAAAAAAAATCTGCCCGTGCACAACCAACTATTTTGGTTTCAATGGGCTTTACAAGACAATTTAAAAATGTTCTGTGACTTAGAAAACATGTTAACTTAAGATTATTTTGTGAAAGTCAGGTATTATATTTTGTTTTACGTTTATTATTGTACTGAAGTTAGCATTTGTATTTATTAACACATTGTATTTTGGGGGAAAAATAAACTTATACTACTACTACTACGAGTACTACTACTATTCACTGTTTTTACTCACCACAGCACTGTGGTGGTTTTTGCCTAAACCTTGGCAAAGAAAACGTGCCTTAGTGGGCCTTTTAAGGATTTCAGAAATTACGATAGAGCCGTAAATCTAAATATTCTTTATAGACCAGGATTAGTCTGAGTGCTTCTAGGAGTTCTTGGAAATGACAGTCGAATATTCTGCCTAAGGCGCTGCATTCATTCGAATATGGAAATACGCTATTGTCAGATTTCACTTAAACGTTTTACAATATTGTAATAAAGATTGAAGCATTGTTAATTTCTGTTTCGGCTTTAGGATAATACCCAATTTATTGTATTGGGATTTTCTCAAGAAAGAAGGGTTTTACCAAATATGTAAGTGCTTTTGCCGAGACCGCACACAGAGACTTATGACTTCATGTAGCCCATTAATGAATTCAGCATTGGCGATCTTCGTTATTTCATGAAGATGCAAGCTCCTTAAAATAAACCGATATTTTGTGCGTATCTTTGCTGTCAGGGCATGTCGTTTCAACAACGGAATAGCTCAAGTGAATTTTTGGCGATCTTGAGATTTTTACAGCAAAGATTATGGCGTCGCTTATTCAGTCGAGAGTAGTATCTTGGTAGTGAGGGTTATGTGTAAGGAATAAGCCGAACTTCAAGAAAACAAGTTATTAACGTGCGAAATACAAAAACTTATTAAGCGTACTGCGTTACAACTCGGCAGAGTTTTTCTGAAAAGGTTAAGGTAGATCTGTGGTAATTTTACGATACAAAAATACCAGAAATACACTAGTAATATAGCTTTCGTCCGTCTGACGGCCAAGCATGGACAGTTGTTTCGTGCTTTTTGGCAACTCATCAGCATGGCCTGGGCTTGGTCTCCGGTACAACAACGAATTGAGTAGACCGTATCTACTATACCGCCAGAATTGGTGGCATCTTGCGGCCACAGTACTGACCACCAACCGACAGCTTGCTGTTTAACTCTCGCAGTGGTCGATTCTGTGTTCACTTTATGGTGGCTTATTTCTATACCGAAAATATTACGTAAGTAGTACTGTTTGAACTTACATTTTTGATACAATAAAGTATCCTCAAAACTACCTCCATTGCAAGCAGCGTTTCCAAATGTGTGAGAGCTAAGTATTATTTTCTGGAAATTTTGCTATAGTCTTAGTTTTTTTTTGTTTTTCTACACCGATGCAACGACGCATTCAGCAGCCTAAATGCCAGGGCACCGCGGCTGCTATGAGGAACTTGAATAAACTTTGTTAACCCAATTTTTAAACTGTCTAAGGTTAGTAAACCTATCAAAAGCCTCATCATGTAGTTTGTTCCACAATCTTGATACGCTAGCGATAAAGGAGCGGTCGTGTCTGCCAGTTCTGGCTGTACGGAGTTCGACACGGTTAGGTTGTTTATTTACGATATCTTCATTTTAGGAGTGTGTAATAAACAGGCCTCTCCTGTCAAGTTGCATTCATGATATAGTCACATCAGCTTAATTATTTGCTATAGGACGTTATTTTTTGTATTCCCAAAGTAGACTCTTTAGGCGCTATTTTCCGTTTTAGAATGTAATACTAGAACATAGGATGACATTTTAATTATGAGGTATCTTTTGGAGGTATCAAAACTTGAAATGACGAAGTGTCAGATTTTGAGTTCAAATTGTGTAACTAAAGAGTATCGCTACGTTTATCAAATGTAAAAAGTCAAGACATCAAAATCTTTGTTCATAGATGAAAGCATTGAATCTTGCTATACACTGTTGAGAGATTACCTCCTTGAAAATGACCTGGCTGTAGTTTTGAAATGTTTCTCAAGAACAAATGGGTGCCAAGACCCCACAATCAGTTTTATGATACAAGTCCCTTGCCATTGTTTCGTTTTGACGGCGTAATTCATTCATCACGCTCACACCTGTCCAGTTACTAAAGGGCTAAGTAACATTCGTATTTTATGTCATATCCAACATGGTCAATTTTTCAAACCCTCTACAAACGAAACCGTACCGTTCCAACGTAGAACAGTCCGTAGGTCATGAATCCAGAAGTCAAAATTCTCATTTCCTTTAACTTATCTCATATACCGTTTCCGATGACGTAACAATCGAGGTGACACACATCGCGGACCTTTTTTACCTACAATCTGGGTAGCAACCGACGATGGTCAGTTTGTTGGTGCAGGTCATGGGTCAGGTGCAAATCATCCACGAGTCGCCTCCAAGTTCACCTGAGCTTTTGCCGCTGCTTCCGATCCTATGCCACTTAGGCAAAGGTTCTGTTTAGGTAGGTATATTGAAATGATGGGCACATCAGTATAAATTTAGAAGGTACTTAAACCGAGGTATCTTATTCACTATTATGCTAGCCACACTTGATTAGATCTCAGGTGCTACTGTTTGGGGAAGTGTGAAGAGTTAAAGTGTGTTTCCACTACAGTAAATCTGCTTCCCAACATAAGTTCTACAGCATCCGTTATAATTACGTTAAGATAGGTATATAAGACTGCATGACACATTTAAAAAGGTTAGATTTACCTCCAAGCGATTGCCTTTTTCGCAAGTGCGGAATAAAACCAAAGTCAATATTAGGTCGACTAGGCATTTATTACTAAGTCGAAGGATATTAACAACAATAGTGACCCAAAATTTAGGGTCCTAGGAAATAAGTTAAATTACCGAATGTTGTTAACAATTTTAACGAGATACTCCGCTAACAACATATCCTTAAATTATATGGAAGCCTTAAGGCGCGAAGTTATTAATTATGTGAGAAATAATGTTTTTGGGTGACTCAGGTATTTTTGGAACAAGTAACATAATATGTTACAATAAGTTAATGTTCATGTTTTAATACTAAATAGACAATATATCAGTTATGGCGTATTCAGTATTTCAACCTGAATAGGTTTTTTCTCATCAGTTCTAACCAATAGTGCATCTTTACCACTATGCAGCTCGGAATAGCATGCATTTTTAACCTTATAGTTGAGTTTGCCCTATTTCGGGGCTAATAATTACTTAGAGGTCAAATTCCAAGTCAAGAAGAAACTAGGTCCTGGTTTTCAATTTTCAGCAAATCTAACATTAAATAACATTTCGGATTGATGTATGTAGGCTGATTAGTTTCCCGTAGCTGGCGAGATGTGTTCGAATTATACTACAGGGATCATACTCTCTTTTGCCTAATCCAGAGATAGAGAGAGCGTTTGGTGTTCGATTTTGATATGTCTGTGGTTTATACGCCTTTATGCTTTATGGTTCTTTAAAATCCAGTATCCGGCCTGTTCCAAAGAAAAAAAAAGGTAGGTTCTAAAACGTGTCATAGAGAAGAAAACAATCACTTCGAAATTTCGATCTGTAGTACACAGTCCAAATAGTGAATGGAATCCATCATTACTACAATACTTCCGAATCGAACGCGAATGAGCTTTTGAAAAAAATCGTGATAGCTGAGTCTCTTTTAATAACCCCGTAGTATTGTGACGTACCTTAGACCTCTGCCGGTTTAAATTTTCAGAAATCTTCCAAAAGATATTTAAAAGTATCATTGAAGGCATAGGTAAGCACGTTGTAAATTAAAAGAACCGAGATCTAAACAGACATCAAAGATCAGTAAAGGGGAGGGGGCAACCAAATTGCCATGACAGGCTATTTTCGGGCTCTGTAACTACGAAGACATATTTGCGAGTAATTTTAACTTCAGTTAAGACACTTCTACTTACAAGTTGGTCAAAGGCCTATTAGGGCCTTAATTTGGTACGTACTTACCAATTTTCGGCAAAGGATTATACCTTCAAGACAATTCAACTTTTGAAGACATCATTCAAGGATATAATTACTCAAATTTGACAAATATAGGTAACTTTTTCTTGGATGGTAGCCCGTCTTAACAAAAGGTTGGTTGGGGTGTCATGTGCCGCCCCACAGGTGGCAGAAATGAAAACAACCTGCAACATGTGGCACAAGCGCATGGTACAACTGCGCCAAATGACTTTAGCGCGCAGTTTTTGTTGCGTTCATATGCCTCAACAAGTTCCAGAGCGATTCTCAAATGCGCAGATGTTTTACTTCGCAGTCCCAGGCCAGCTTCCACTGTGTATGGTGGTATAATCTCCTTCAAACTAATGCAGGGCGTATGACCTATAATTTATACAC